GGGTGGGTGGGGTTAAGGAGAAAATGACTTTTTCAATCTTCATGTTAGAATTATTGGTTCATAAGCTTCTGTCAAATTTCATGAAAGCTGGTTTTTATTTTTTTTTATTTTTTAATTTTTTTATTTTTTGAGACGGAGCCTCGCTCTTGTTACCCAGGCTGGAGTGCAATGGCGCGATCTCGGCTCACCGCAACCTTCGTCTCCTGGGTTCAGGCAATTCTCCTGCCTCAGCCTCCTGAGTAGCTGGGATTACAGGCAAGCGCCACCATGCCCCTCTAATTTTTTGTATTTTTAGTAGAGACGGGGTTTCACCATGTTGACCAGGATGGTCTCGATCTCTTGACCTCGTGATCCACCCGCCTCGGCCTCCCAAAGTGCTGGGATTACAGTCTTGAGCCACCGCGCCCGGCCCTAGATTTAGTTTTCTAATAAAAACTAAACAATTTATGATTCCTGGCATATAGGAATCTCAAAGGATAGCAACTGTGTAGAAAAGTCTCTTCCAATAAAACACCGTAAATGACTTATAAGCCCAAGAAGCCGGTGACTGCATATGAAACAACCATACCAAGAAGCAAACTATGGTCTATAGAGTACAGTACTAATCCGGGAAAACAAGCTTTACTCCTGGCTGCATTACACACCTGCTGTATTTTAATTTTTAACTCATGTTGAGCTTATTTTAATAAATAAAACATGCCACTTAACCACAATTTCAAAAAGAAAACAAAATCACAAAAGAATACAAATTACACAATTGGACTAATACATTAGATAATTAAAGGTGATTCTATTCCCAAACCTAACTTTCAACGCTACTGCATTTAGTTACTCAGTGTGGAAGAGGGGTAGAAGGAACATTTTGCAGGGTCCAAAAGGATACGTAGAAAGCGTGCGTGCCTACGAAGACTGCAGTGAGGAGCTACAGATTGAGATTACATAGCGGACTGAACAACTTTGCTTAGGACCAGGCTGTTTAATTTCTTCATAAACTGAACATAGCTTCCTTCCTTAAAAAGTTTTTTTTCTTTTCTTTTACCAAAAACTCCTGAGAATACACCAAGTAACTAAAAAAATGTTAACCCAGACTTTCTTCTCTCCAAAACAACCCGAACTAATATATCAACTGCTGCACTGAACTATATTAAGGCACTAGAATATTTAAGGAAAAACAAGACTCCCGCAATTCAACAAGAAGCTTTTTTTAGTGAAGAAAGAAAATTTAAGGAACAAGTAAATTTAAATACATGCCCTGTTTAACTTCCTTTCCCACCTATGCAGACCTGGAATTTTAACTTTCCTAGTTGATCCAAACTCAAAGTACGAAGATTACGTATGCGAATGTTTACTTAATGCTGAACTCGGGGCTACAGGAAGTCTCCTACTAAAGAGCAGTTACATTAGGCGTAGATATTTATAAACCATCTGCAGCGAGTGACCCAGGATTCAATTACAACATCAACCCTCATATTTCATCGTATGGGCAAATTACCAGTCGAATCAAGAATAAATTCATTCTGCCCTACTGGCGCTTTAGATCGGCTTGCACAATCCTGGGGCAGAACCGTCTTTGCCTAGCCTTAGAGCATCAGGTACTAAGTTAGCGTTAGGGCATTTTAAAAGCGGGAGGGAAACTCAAGAGTCTCCTGAACCGACTTAGCCCATACTCCCAAGTTCAGAAATTTGTCACATCACTTAAGATCAGACTGAAATTAAGTCTCGGTCCCTTTGAGATCTCTGAGCGCACAAAGTCAGGCTGCTATCACTTCAAGTGGCTGGGGAGTCCGAGCCACGCTGGACAAAAACTACTTGGTTCGGAACTTGCATCTTTTCCGCCCACCGTGGGGTGCCCGCATCGGTCGGGTCCTGCCGACAGCCCGCACACAAGTTTGGGGGCGCAATGGGGCCCAGCAGGGAAGGCGAGCGCGCGTCCCCCCGCCCGCTCAGGCGGCGTAGAGGTGCCAGCAGCTCAGCCAGCCTTGCAGAGGGAGCTCTCGGCAGCTCTGGGGTCCCTCTGCTCGCAGCCGCTGCAGCGCCGCCTGCGCCACTCGGCGGAGACGGAGACCAGCGGCGGCGACGCGCGGACTGGGAGCGACCGCCGAGCAGCCAAGCAGCTGGGAAGGCACGCAGAGCGGCCGGGTAGGTTCCGGGGACGGGGCGGACTGGAGGAGGGGCAACCCGAGACGCGACGGCCAGGGCCCGGCACCCAGTAGGATACCGGGACCTGGCTGCGCGCGCGGCGGCAGTGGGTCCGAACGCTTGAGCTAGGCGGGCGCCGAAGCCCGGCCGAGGAGATAGCGTTTCAGCTGGGGCCACCCGCCGCGGGAGGGGCGGAGGACACAGGACAGAGGGCGGGCCGCGGCCCGGCAATCGGCCGGCCAAGAGCCGGCCTCGAGGGCAGAGACAAAGGAAGGAAAATGGAGTCGCCGAGCGCGCGGGCCTCTGCCGCCGCCGCCGCCGCCCGAGGCCTAGCGCGCTGCCAGGAGAGAGGCCTAGCGGGCGGGCGTGGGGGTGGGGGGACGGCGGGGCCACGGCGGCGACGGGCAATGGCGGCAGCCGCGCCGCAGCAGGGACGGTAGAGGGAGACAAACACCCCCCGGCGGCGGCGCTGGCGCCGGGCTGCAGCCAGCGCCGACCGGAGCGGCCCCATCGTGACACCTAGAGGCGGCCCGCGAAACCTCCTCCACCCCGGGCCCCCTTACCTCCGCGCCACACCCCCCGCAGCGCCCGCTCCGCCGCCGCTCCACGGCTCCGGCCACCCGGCGTCTCCGGCCAGCTCCGCGCGTCCGCACCGGCTACCGCCGCCGCCGCTGCCGCTAAAGAAGCAGCACCGCGCACGGTTTAATCGCTCCACAGGCTCGGACACAAAATGGCGGCGGCGCGGTGCAGTGCGCCTGCGTCGGCACTGCCGGGGCCGCGGGTGCTGATAAGGGAAGGGACGGGTGGGGGGGCCGGCAGGGCGGCGAGTGGAGGGCGGGGGAGGATAGGTGAGGGGAGGGGTTGGCGCAGGGCAGCATGGGAGGCGGCCCCGGGCGCCAACTTTCAAAAGCGGGCGCGATGGCGTCACGGGACGCGCCGCGAGTCGCGTCGTCACGCCGCACGCGCCCTTCCGCGCCCTCGCCGGGTCGCGCGTGGGTTCTGCTGGCGCCGCGGCGTCCCGGCTCTTTCTGGGTGGGGCTTCCTGGCGGAGGCCGCCGCCCCTGGGAGGTGCCGGATCCAGCCTGCTTGACCTGATTCCCCAGCTACTGTCTCTGGCCCCCTGAACCCGCAGAGGGTTGAAAAAGTAGGGGTGGCTGGAGGAAGCGCGCGCGGGGCCGGTCCGTGGGGATGAGAAGGCTTCCGGGCCCGGGCCCGGGCCCGGCCCTGCCCCCGCCCCCGCCCAGCCTCCGCCCCAGCCAGGCCCGACCCGCCCTCTGAACGTCTCACTGCTGCCAGGCACCGAGTAAGGCCGGGTCGGTTCCCGCGCGAGCGACCCCTGGAAGGGGCTGTCCTTGCTCGGCGGCTTTTGGTGATCTCTCCGCCCTAGAAGAGGGCCACCTAAAAGCGGGCGCAAGAGAAGAGGGGGAGGGCCTCCTATTGGTGTCCCCAGGCCACCTCAGCCCGGAGAGGCAGCGAAAGACCAGACTTGATGCTTTAACACGATCATAGCAGTCACCTTTTGCCGAAAGGATTCTGTATTTAGCGCTGTGTAATTCTGGGGAAACGTGCATTTCTTGTCTTTGCGGGACAGTTGTTCTCTGTGGGTGGAGGCCTTCAGTCCCACCCCTCCCCAGGAGGCGCCTGCGGACCCTTCCTAACCTTCAGTCAAGTTGACCAAGAACTGACTGCAAGGTGCTGGTGGCTCTGGGAAGAGAGCCTTTTGGTACTTATAGGGTATATGGCTCTTCCCTTAGATATCAAATGGACTCAGCGTCTAGGGAGCAGCTTCTGCGCCATTCAGCTGACTGTTCCGTTGTGAGAATGCTGGCCCAATAACAGATATTCTGGGGATTTTTTTGGTTTTGTTTTATTGTGTTTTTTCTTAAAGTTATCAAAAATCTGTATTTTTTAAAATGTCAAATCTCCAGGCCGGGCGCGGTGGCTCACGCCTGTAATCCCAGCACTTTGGGAGGCCGAGGCGGGTGGATCACGAGGTCAAGAGATCGAGACCATCCTGGTCAACACGGTGAAA